TAACAAAGAATAGAAGAAAATCCAAAAAAGCTAACGAAAATAGGGAACTAATCGAAATGGTATGGACGGAAGAACTATGACAAGAGCCGTCCAATCAAATGGAGAGGTTTAACAGGATAGAGTTCATGGAATAATCAACACCTTTGATTGATATGGGATCACCGTCATGGAACGAGTTGCTTGGAGGAACGGCTGATCCAAGACAGAAGGTATTGAGAGTTTAGGGGACCTGGACAGTTGCTAAAGTAACGATACGCGCCAACCGATTCACATACTGAAGAAGAACAGTTCCATGAGTTTTTCACTACAAGAGTTTGGGTGTTGAGGATATAGAAATGGTGAGTAGATCATCTAAGCCAAGATATCATAGCCAGCAGCCACAGGATGACCCAGAGTCCGAGACAGAGACAGCAGGTTATGGATTAAAAGACTGATCAAGAGCGGGGACGTAGTAAACATCAGATGCTTCAGTTATAACAACGCAACTCACACGATAGGAATTGAGACCTCGCGACCCTAATCTGTAGTGCTGTGGTTTAGCGACAGAAAAACACAAGGGAAAGCGCATAGTCACGAGAAAAGAGCAAGTGTGCCTGGGTCGCTCGAATACCGAAGGTACGCTGCTCAAAGCTGATGACGAAGTTGCTCATACCATTAAACAGAGCATACGGTCAATGACAATTGAGCAATTCGTAGTTCCGTTATCAAACAACACACGAACGAACACTTGACTTTTTCGTTGTGAAATGCAACGATGTAAGGTCAAAGCTAGTGATAATTAAGAAAAGACCCTCGGTTTATCGGTATCAGCCAGTCAGATTGATAGCGAATTTAGTGCGAGCGCACTCAAAGTGAGGTGCATAACGAAACAGCACCTGTTTAAAGGATTTTACACGTGTGAACGACATCATCCTCTGATCTTATGAAGACCAGGACGATTCCAAATAAGGAGGGAGAATAAAAGTAATTGTGAACACACTAACATACGATCAGGAATAGCTGAAAAACTTCTGACTGCATAGGATACCGACTTAAATAAATGGGCCACAGCGCTGACATAATTTGGTGGCGGGCCTTACAATAATACAGAACCGCGGTTCAGCTGAGGCAATCAACCGCGTCCCAACTGCAATATGCGCTGGATGTATCTATCAAAGCCATGGTTGGTAGCATCCAGTTCCGGATTTGTCTGTCACTATGACCTACATATGATAACCACAGGATGTCTGCACCTACAAAGGACCATCAACGTTTAGCGTTGCACCACCAACAGCTCCATCCATCCGCAGGAATAAGCCCGGGAGACATGGGAGCCCCGTTTCATCAACGGAGTCGGGCCACACCTTCAACATGCACAGCATTAGTATTCCTGTCTATTTATGTCGCGAATCATGCGTACCAGACGTACACAAGGCGGTGACTCGGCCTTAGTCCGCTTCACATGGGATGGAACCACTCTTTGACCCTAGTACGGCTACGAGGACCAGCAAAGATTCACAGTATCCTGGAGCCAGTAATCGAAGTGAAGGGTGTTAGACAGGTAGGCACATTGTTAGCATTCCAATCAAGCGGAACCACATAGGGGATATCAAATAACCAACATAGAATTTAAGGGAAAGCAAACACGCAAAATTGATACAGAAGATGCGGCAAAAAACTGGACTGTCCAAATCAAATAGTGGAATAAATTTTATCCCGATTAAAAGGATCTAGTTCAAATGCAAGTTGGTTTGGCCCAACTGCGGCAAAGAAGCAACGTGAATGTAACAAACACAGATACTAATAATGAAACGAATAGAGAAGAAGTTGCTGGATATGGCGAGTTGTTCACCCGAAAACACTCCAATCAACGACAGGTCTCGAATTTAGTTGATCTCATCAAGTAGAGATATCAAGCATTAAAACCTGTGGCCTCTAAGATGTTGATCAAAACCTCAATTCCCAAGCAACCGAGTCATGACGGACAACGCTTATCAAAACGGTTAACGATTGATTGGAGGGGTCATTCGAAGCATCCATTGTGTGAATGGATTACTCGGTCTAACTGGTAATATCAAACCAGTTCGAAACCGGCCACAGATTGCAGTATTTCTGGGCCGGTAACACCCAGTATGCAGCCGCTACATCATTTATGGTCCTAGTGATTGAATTGACCAATGACAACCTCAATACGAATCGCGTTCCCCCTTGAGATTGCGCATCGCAAGCCATTCGCACAACGAGTACTTCAAAATGACCCTCGAATCAATGAAAAAATCAGTTGGATAGAGAAGTTAGAATCACCTGATGGAATAAAGGACAATGGAAAAAAGAACGGTACAAAAATGCTATTGATTTCTCGTTTTACCCATGTGAGCTACGCACCCTAATCCTCGATGTGTCTGGTACCGTTATCAACCAGGAAGAAAGCATGAAAGTACCTGGTAAGTTCCTTCGGCGAAGTTATTCATTCCTCTATCCTGCGGCCTCCACCAACCGGACGAAGAAACAACAAACAGTGCACCAGTACGCGGGCCAGAATTAAGCATGCCAAAAACGTCACATGTCAAATATACGGTTTACATCCAAAAGACAGTTCAGAGCATAACTGGAGGATCGATTGTCAAGCATCAAATGGTAGACATATGTACCAACCATCAGGTGGCAGACTACTTATGTAGACACTGATGGTTGAGAATAACAAGCCCATTTATGTCTTTAATGAGTGGCAACTGTGGCTTTGTACACGCCCACAAAGATGAGTAAGGCTTTAACTAATTGAGAGTTCGTCACGTGAGCTTTCAAATCACATAGTCCTGCACATGTCAGGAGAAGCACTAGACTGCAGTTGTAATCTGTTAGGTATCATAAGTAGTGCGCATCCATTGGATACTTCAGGATTCGAACTCGTAAACACCTGCAAATTGCACCGACAGTCAGGATCTTATGCCACTGGGCCACGGAGGACGGTGTCGGACTGTCATGATTTACAAGTCAACTGCCAAGCAAATTACGAACGTTACAGAGGACAGGATTGGCCCCGAAAGACAAGAGGTCCACTGACAGTGGCTACGTCGGACATAGCGTCTAGAAACTGTCGAGGCTTTGCCAATTCGGAAAAACCTAATCGATGCACACGGCATATGTTTCGATGATTCGAGTATCAAAGACTATAGAGGTACCCAGATGATTGAACTGAGCAATCATTCCTACTATCGGCTTGTTGATCGCGAAGTCCAGTGGTAAAGCGCACCAGTCACGTAGCAGTGCCGTGGGCTTCAAATATGCAAACTAGGTATTACACACGCTCAGTGCTCTGCTTCAGCTGCTCAAAAATGCATAAGTCCGGCCCAGAAAGGTCATAATGTTCGGGTACTCAGCTTTGCAGTTGATATTCCAGCAGGAATTTGTCACGGAGGTGAAACGGCCGACTATGATGGTGCACTTTAGAAGGGCGAGACTAACCACTTCACATGAGCGACTCACAGACTCGTCGCCAATGCCAAACCGGAAGCTGATAAAATGCAGCATCAGCCGTCACGTGCATTGCTATCGGCCCGACAGGAAGATGCCGAGCTCTCAGGTCGTTGTCCCAAGCAAACAATGATGGGTTTGGCCAAGCGGGCAGACAGACAAGGGCCAAGCAGCCAGGTGACGCAGCAAGGGTTGGTGAGAGTGTACCATAAATATCAACCCTCCTCGTACCCAATACACACTCGTTGGTCGAGTTCGTATTCTGTTTTCCCCGGGCTGGGTTGGACAGTTGCGCATTCAGAGAGTGGGGCAAGGCGTCCGCGTTAATGGATCAGGGCAAAAGGCGCGTCGTACTGCGGAAAGGCAGGCGAATATCTTAGAGTAGCAGAGCACAAGGCAGAAAACAGAGGCGAGACCTAGTGGTTACAACAGAAGCAACACAAACGAACGAAGCAAGCGTTAAAACAAAAGTACATGCCGCATAAAGTAGCCAGCACGGTCGTTCCCAAAGCAGCAAGACACGTTTGACATACCAGCCATATGGCAAACTCGAAGATGAACAACTCATGGAGTTTTACGTGACCACGTTAGTTGTAGTATAGGGACAGTATAATGAGACGAAGTAGTCCAGCCAAACCCTGGGAAAAGAAGCTAAATCATAACCATGTGGGGTTAAATAAATCAAAAGTGACTGTATGTAAACGCAAACTATCACAGTAAGCTGCCTGAGTCCATGATACTAGTTGAACCCCCAGTAAATTGTACGTACGTGATCAATGGACCCATCGGGGCGAGACGCAGTCTGGCTTTCATTTTTTCCTCCACACGGTGACCGCTAAGCCATCTGAGTATGCTGTTTGTGAACAGACTGGACGCGGTGATGATAGTATCATTAGTTCAGTGGTATTCAAGCAACATCTTTTCGCAGTTTTCGTATGTGGGGATAATAGCTGACAAGCATGGCTCGGAGTCAGCGCCATCGTTCGGCAGTGATGGGACAAAACCATCAAGGCCGATGGGAGCGTGCTTTTCCACAACTGCCTCAGCTTGTGTAAGATTTCATCCGTGTTCGAAATACCGAAGATAATATTCCAAATGACTTTGGGTAACCCGGCCAAAGATAATAACGACGCACGCACACCGAAATGCCGTGCAAATCGACGGGCATCAATGTGCAGACCAATTGTTACCGCATAAGAAGTAAGATGAGCCGTCTTGATAATGTCTTCATGTATTAAACGAACAACTAGTGAGTTATTATTCAACCATGACTAAAAATGGGTCTGATTTCGTCGAACAGATCCCATCGTAAATAGATAAATCCTTTAAGTACGGTATCGCAGGATAGTACGAGAGCGAATGAGACAGAACTGGGCACGGATTGGAACGGTTCTTGATCCCACCGGCGGTCGCATCGGTTGGCCATACAAACACCAGGGAAGGCAGAAGCACTCACATTTTATCCATCAGCGCCGATTGGAATAGGCAGAACAGATTACTAAATCTCCAAAGTCATACTGAGTAATATATAAGTTAGTAACTGGTGACTATTTAAGAGGGTTCATAGCATCGTGAATGCGGTGGCAACAAAATGAAGCTAGACAGGATTGAGCGGACTTACCAATGGGCACACGATACTTCCTCACCAAATCAATCGCTCGCTGAGACTCTATCGAATGGACAACTGAACCCGGTACGGGTAGCATGGTTCCGTGCCCGATTCGATCGGGGATGTGCCTATCAAGGAATGTTAACCAATCATTGTCCTGACCGGGTACTTCCGCGAGATGAACGGTGGTCCGAAACCCATGCTGTCTGACCATATCGAGCAAGGGCACATAATCCAGAAGTGAACCACACTATGGTAGAATGTAGAAGAAATGCGAACAAATGAATGGTGACAGACACAATCTGGACGAGTGTTGCGTTAATCTCCAGATATAGTCCCGTGGCTTACATATTAGACATACAATTTCAATACTCCGTACTCAGTCATGTGAAATGGGCCGTATGTGCTTCTATAATCTAAGTTAACTATGCAAATGCAGAAGAATCGGGGGTTACTAGTGGAAAATGGTGGTGACGCAGCTGCATCGGAGTAATGAGTAGAACGAACCGGGGACATTGGGTGTAGCTGCGTGGACCAGAATCGGACATTTAGGTCTCTATGGTTTGTGCATAAACAAAGGCAAAAAAACGTTCGCTAAGAGCAACCGTGCACCCAAGATAGTTGCACTGTTCTGTTAAAGTAATTGAGCAACGAACAAACGGACCTGTGAAATTGCTTGTACTAACACGCGTCCTACGGCAGTCCGCGGTTTTGTAGTCACAGTGATTGTTATGTCACTCCAGTATCCGGATTCGGGTCTCCGCATTGGATTTGGTCCCTCTGGTAATAGCACAGCATGCGAACAACCGTGTGCGGTTGAGTGACGGCGAAGCATCAGCACTGCCGACACGTTAAGCATTTTGTGCTCTCATTAGGAACACAGCTATGGAATATCGTTGAGTTTCAGCTGCCGGCTAGAAGAGGTAGGGTTTCTTCAACACGTCCGCTATAGAAGCTAGATTAGCTGAGCCACTTTGCGGCAGGATCCCGTGTATTAGCACCAAGCCAACCGCGATAAGCAAGATGGCGGCTAAAGTAGCGATGAATTCAATCTAACGAACGTTTTAGCAGTCTGTGGCCTAGACTTTTTTCAGTAGTGTACACCAAGACAGTTTACATCCAGAATAGGGGGTCGTCATGCTGACGTAAAGTAAAAACAGGTTAGGTGTTATGTCCCAGCTCGGATTGCAAGCGGTGGTGAAGTGGTTTGCGTGTTCAGCTTGTAATCAACGAAGTACCGGTTTGAACCCTCGTAGCTGTGGGTATCGCAGTCCCCGTTATCGTACTTTTGTGGTAGCGAAGCGCCGGTAAAGGTTCCGATGTAATGTCGATACCGTTTTACTCATAGTCCGTAGCTTCGCCAAGTAGAGGATAAGGCACGTAGAACTGTCCGAAGCAAGGGAAAATTGGCCACTGCGACAGCACTTAGAACTTAATCAAATGGTTCTCAATAGATTCCTTTGCAGTTGCTCGTAATCTGTCGGATGGATTAATGCCATCGTGCTCAAGAAACAAGTAAAAAAGTGATCACGAGAATCTTCACTCCACTTTCAAACGGCGTGAACTGAAATCGTAGCAACACTCAAGTTCAAAGAAATAATGACATCTAAATTTTCCCTTTGCGGAAATTTCGTAAAACACACAAGTAGGCTAGAGCAACCATTCTCAATGGGAGCCATATAGCACCTCTGGAGGCTATAGAGAATTCCAGGTGGGCTCCGGAATGAGAAAAATTTTTTAGGTGGTTTCTCTCCGCGCACTGACCCCTGATAACTGCAGGTAAGTAAATTGAATTACGCGCGCGCAGGTGCCTGTTTAAAGTGTGAAAGCCAGACCAGGCATACTTTCTGTTGCGAAGCTGGCATAGCTCCGCCAAACTTGCGCAGGTTTCGCCGGGCTTACCTCAAACATACAATCACCATACGGCGACTTAGACTGCGCAAATAACATCTGACTCGCCCTCAGGACGTTGATGCCTAGCTACAGTGAAGTAACTGTGGACATTGATACATCTACTGTGCAAGCTGCAATGAACCTAGCGTACTCTCATAAGAACACTGCGGCCGTTACCGCACAAAGCCACACTGACACTGAGTGAGTTTTCCTCAGGACACTACCTCTATGTGAAGACTCATGTGCTGTCTTTTTCGGGTCAGCGACATCGGGTCGTTCGGGTAGCGATAGGTTACGCGTTTTCCATCTACAGTCTCAGCTCGCGTGTGCGTTTGGCGGCTAGGTCGTAGACCATAACGGTCCGAATTCGTGTGACTACTCTGAAGAACGTTCGTTCCTTCCGACTAAGAGTCGCAACAGCTAGGACGTGTTGTAACGTTTCCTTAATTGGGGTAAGCATAACGGAGTTTGGGGTAAGCATAGCGGACTGTGCAACCCAAACCTCCCCTGTAAGTGTTGCTTCTATCCCCAGAAGAACTGCTAGTGAGACCGTAAACAACACGACACCTAGAGTCCAGAACATCAACAGCTGTCCCAATACCACACGTGGCTCACATTTGACTAATGCGGTTTCCAGTTTGGTCGGAGTAACTACAAGTAAGGCTAGTACCAAACTCCCGACGGAGTGCGTAGAAAAAGAGTAAACCGGTACTAGCGAAAGTTGAGTTATAGTTGCTTCCAAGAAGAGTCGTCATTTAAAATTAACATTACCCCAAATGGATCGGAAACTGAGGAGCGTAACGGTTTTCTTAGTGCAAGCACCACCGGTTTCCTGCGGTACATCTACGAGTACTGTAATCACTAACCGCAACATGTCGAAAGGTGTAAAGAAACAACTACCTGTACTGAGCGCACTGTGCTCCAATATCCTAGAATCATAGTCGACATCAATAACAGGTAGGCAGTTGGATATTAGTATTAACTTAATCGGAGTTGTACTAAAACCTGTATACGTGGAGGGTTTCGGTGTGGCTCTCTCCTATCCGTGCACTCCTGTATACGTAGTGCGTATTACGCGACACCCCAACTCTAAGCATTTCGGAGAGCCAAGACTTCTGCGCGTTGTGTTGAACTCCATCAGTGAAGTAGAATCAGTACTACTTATTTATGAGTAGTAGGGGATTTATTAGGTTTTGTGTGGATTATAAAAAAATAAATAATAATAATAATAATAAATAATCAGTAGTCGCCTTAGCAGCTTACATGCCACTTCGATTGGTGGCAGCTTGCAAAGGAAGTCGTTGCTCTGGGGGCCAGCCCTGTCCTCTGCACATTCATAACATGCAAGACACTGGAGGATGAGCCGCGCTATATCGCTATTAGATATCAGTCATGCCGGTCTGCTGTCATCGCCCATGGCTCAGTGGCATAGGTTGCTGACTCGCAAGAGTAAGGCTGTGGGTTCAAATCCGGCAGGATTTCGCGGATGCACTCACAGTCTGTGTGTATCTCTCTCTTTTCCTCCTCCTCCGTTGTTGTTGTTGAGAGAGATACACTCACAGTG